TTTCATTGTTAAGACATGAAAAAAATCAACAATTTCACAGTCTAATCATGTATTAAGTAAGTAATGAACTTATGTTTCATTGTTAAGACATGAAAAAAATCAACAATTTTACAGTAATCATGCATTAAGTAAGTAACGAACTTATGTTTCATTGTTAAGACATGAAAAAAATCAACAATTTTACAGTCTAATCATGCATTAAGTACGTAATTATTTTTTACATAGTATTTGTGGTGAGACATGATCAAGCCGTAACAAAATATCTGTAAGAACATCTTGCAGTTTTAATTACAATACTGAAAATAATCATCACACTGTATAAGAATTAAAAAAATGTTGTAGCATTATGTGATACATTTTTAAGAGCTAAAAATTTCTTCATCTTTTTAGTGGCCACCAGATGGTTTCAATATTAAAGTTCTTGTAATTATTTTATGATCTGCATCCCACCAAACATGCTCGCCCTTTCAGCCGTGGGGGGCGTTATAATGTGACGGTCAATCCCACTATTCGTTGGTAAAAGAGTTGGCGGTGGGTGGTGATGACTAGCTGCCTTCCCTCTAGTCTTACACTGCTAAATTAGGGACGGCTAGCGCAGATAGCCCTCGTGTAGCTTTGCGCAAAATTCCAAAAAAACAAAAAACAAACAATTATTTTATGGTGGTACTCTGGTGTTAAGTTTCATCTTCATGTATAGGGTTTTACTTATATATTCTACATTTTTATAATGTTGTAATTATACTCTCTGGTGTGATGTGCACTGAATCACTAATTATGCTAATTATCACTAATTAGCTCTGGATAATTATGGCTAATTTATATAAACATAATTTTTTCATTTATATTTAGATTGTATTATTTTCTAATATATGTTTCAAATACATTTTTTTCTGAAATTCTTGGGGGTAGGGTGGGCAAGTTAGTATGACCCATTAGTTTTCAGACACCTTGAACTTTGAACTTTTACATGCTGGTTTTCATTGTGTTTAATGTAATGTAATATGTCACTTTCTGCAAGAGCTGTTGAAGAATGTCTTGCAAACCACGTGACCAGTGCAAGGATTACAGAAATTACTGAGTTGTATTATATATTTTTGAGTTCTATCTACCTAGTTATGTTTCATTCTGTTGATCTAGACTTTGGTTGAAGATATTTAAAACAATAACAATATTCATAATTTCTGGACACAACTTCAATTTTCTGACACACATTTAAACCTATAACATTCTTCATACTTGTTATGGTGTGAACTCATTTCAGAAGATGGTGAAGCACGATATAATTAATTAAATTTGTCATAAGACATTATGTTAGGCTTATTATATTTTTTAACAATACATTCCTAATCTAGTTCCTTGTGGATTTTCAAGAATTAGAAGAGTGTATAATAATAGTACAATATATTTGTCACGTCCAGCTCTTGGTATATAGAGAACTTATAGAACATATAGAACATTCTCAACTTATAGAACATATGTTTTTCCTTACCTTAGAAGAAGAAGAGCCAACAAGAAGGACAAATTGCCGCAGGAAGTGAATCTCTTCATGAAGGGGTACTTATTTTAATGAAAATTCATTATACATAGTTTACCGAGTAATAAATTCATTTTATAATTGCATCATAAATTATATTAAACAAGTTACTTCTTGATACGTTATTCAAATAAAAATATGAAAATAAATAAATGTGAAAAATATTTTCAAGTCTAAATAAGACTTTCTTCTGTGTAACATTTTCTGTCACCCTTCCTCAAGTTGTAGAAACTGAGCTAAGAAAGAATCGTTAAAGGGTTAGAATGTACAGAGGTTCTAATTACACGTGTTCTACGTGGTTAATGTTAGCAAGCATATTGTT